TATGTGGCGGTGGCGATGTCCCTCAATAGGAATAATGTCTCCCACATTCTATCCTCGTCTCGATGGTGTGTCTAGCTTCATCGGAGGGTGTGTGGAGGTGTGTTTCCACTGGATCTCAGGGGATCCGGTAGGTGCTGGTCTTCGGTGGGTCTGTTTGGAACTGGTTTTCGTTCGGATGTTTACACATTTCATCCTTCCCATCTACGACTTTCTTCATCAGCGATGGTTGCTACTCTGGTGCGCCGGTCCTATGGGGCCTTAGCACGTTGACTTCCCCAAATGTCTAGTGCAACAAGGTTTTCCCGGCTTCGGCGAGGGAGGGGTGATGACGGCGACGCGCCTTTGACTCACCCCAATGCTTGTAGTCATCGCTAGGTGGTCCACGAACCTGGTTGTATTTTTATTACCTCTAATGTTCTTTGTACTATCATGATTGAAGTTGAATAGATTGAAAGTTTCTCAGGAAAAAAGAGATAACAGGATGTTCAACAATTTTTTTCGAACTCATCGACTCCAAAATCAATGATACTCTAGTCGGAATTCACACATGCCGATCCACAACACTATGCCCCTTGAGTTTCATCCAACAATGTATTAACGTAAATGGCCTGCCCTCGGTTTTGTGATACAACATGGCAGCACGTCTGGGCTATATAATGTGATGGTTACCAAGTTGCAACATTGAGTGAATCAATGAATTGACTAACATGTAGGGCAACAAGAAGCAAAACTTATTATCTCCATGATTGACGCACCCGGTGGTCTTCTCTCCGATTGTGTAATCGCATTGTGATACTTCATGACGGAGTTGAAGATGGTGTACCATCGATGGGCTAGGAACTTTGCATTGTGTTTCATGGATCACATCCAAGTCGTAGGAGCGCGAAGTGCTTTTGCACATGAAACCAAGAATGCATGTTTTGCCAAAAGGTCGAGCCCCATGTCTCATGCCTACAAAGTCCGTAGATAGGACTAAACATGCATCGCACATCAGCTCATCCTCCATCACCAAGTACCCCACCATCGTGCTTACTCTAGGAAACAACGAGAAGGTCAAAAGAAAGCTCAGTGGCATTTGATCGAAGACCTGTTGGGCGTAGTGTCCGCCATGGACATCATCGGCAGGGGCGGAGGGTACTTGGCTGCAGACGGATCCAAGGTGCACGACGGCGTAGTCTAACATGGGCATGCACGTGGGTTGGGTTACGGGCTCGGCAATGCCTGGGCGGCGGCTGGAGAGGTACAAAGGTGGCAGCGGGCAAGGAGGGTGCACATGCTGAGAAAGGGGGAAGCATGGGCGGAGTGAAGAAATGTGGTCCAAGAGGGGATTTGAGTGGGGCTAGGGGTATCGAAGTCCTACGTGGTGAGGTCCGGACGCCCGCATCCCCTCTCCCCCAGTTTGTGTATGGTTTGCGGGAATACGTACAAGCATCCATGTCCGTGGGCAAATACCGACCCGTTTTGGATTTCAAACTATGTCCGGACAACTCGGCCCGGACGTGTGCAGACGGTTTGAGGGGCGACATTGGAGATGCCCTAAGAACTATCAACATATTTTCTTCACTAAAACCGATTCTTAGTCTTTAAATTAATAGAACAAAACTGCACAAGCTATTTTTAACCTCTCTCGCTCGCACAGCTCCTCGACACTTTTCTCGTCGTTGCCGGAGGAGGACGAGGCGGAGCAGCCTTCTCCGGGGTTCAACATGACGGAGGCGAAGGCGAAGTTCGCCCTCGCCCAAGCCATGGAGATGGCAGGGTAGCAGGCCATCCTGGAGTCCATCCAGGATGAGGTCTATGTGGAGGCCAACCGACAGTTCCTCCTGCAGAAGCAGGTAGCGTCCGACGCGCTCTTCATCGAACTCGACGCAGAGATAGAGGAGGTGGAGGCCGGAGCGAAGCAGCCGAAGATGCAGCTACCGCCCATGTAGTCGAAGTCGGGCACGAATATAGTGGACATCTCCGACAAGGAGTAGCTAGATCATCTATTTCGTACGTAGGTTATTTCGTTTGCATGCTTTTGTTTGGATTTGAGAATCTAGTATGAGATGTCCGGATGTAGTTGTGCTAATTTGAGGAGTCTATGCCGCTGTAGATGCTCTAAAGCCACTATAAGAAAAATATAACAATACTTGCTCTAATATCGTATGGTATACTATACTCATCAAGAACTAATCAGTGGACCATGACAAAAGGCATAGCAATCAAAACCCTTGCCTACTCCTCTTTCTCGCCAGTGACGGTGTTGGGCTCTACCAATCATGCGTTGCTACGTTGAAACCGCACTTGCACGACGGCACGAGCCCGTCAGGTGTTGTGCCTTCGTTGGTAAGTCTAGCACCTGCACCGAAATATCTCGCCACCGGCCGATCGGGGCCGTCCGTGGCCCGATCCCACGGCCCCGAGGCGCCCAAACTACATTCCAACGGAGTCACATTACTGTTCTGGAAAGGGTGATGATACGCTTCCCATTCCCATCCCGACCGCTTCCT